GCCATTGTTAATTGACAATACGTCGTCGATATATCTAAATGTCGAGTTGAAGGCCACAGCAAGTGTTTTCTTCTTTTCACGTACAAGATTTTGGACAAATTCTGCTTCATATGAATACAAAAAAGGTTTGCTAATAACGGGGCGCAATTGGTACCCATGTGATTTCCAATAGATTGTTGGAAGACCTGGTCTCCAAAAACCACATAGATATTGTCAATTAGAAACTCAAGCATCTTTTTAAGGACATACGCAACGTAGTTTGAACTTTATTGTCTTTTTCCCTGGAGTTGAAGAGTTCTTATACTAAAAGGAAAATACTAAACTTGTGAAGCATTTTAATGTCTATATATGCTGTTGTACACCTTTTCTACACCTTTTCTAAAACAAGCTTGGATAAACAAAACATCTAGAATATATGTTTAGTAATTTTTGTATATTTTTCTTTAAATTATACAAGAATTTTCATCAATTGTTATCTTTTCAAAACCCCTGGTAATGCATGCTGATTTTTTGTCTACGAATATCTGATGGTACTATAATCTTAAATTAAGAATATCTTGAAAAATTATCAGCAGGTAATGTATGTTGCGTATGTCAACTTCAGAGTACTTGTGTGTACAATCAGAATGTTTTTTAACAAAATAATTTTGCAAATGACCAATGTTAAGGCATGTAAATTTACGAGTTCCATTTTTATTGAAAAAGCAGCTGTCAATGATATCTAAAAGCCTGGACTTTAATTTATCGTGGGGAATGGTTGTGTATAAAGTTGAAAAGTCGTAAGTTTTTAAGCTGTTGATTTTGGTAAAATCTTGTGATTTCAAATTTTCCAAAAGTTCCTTGGAATTTTTAAGTATCCACATCTGATTTACACCACTTCTCGAATATATTGCTGCACAGTACTCTTGAAGTTTCTCCTTCACTACTGTTAATATCTTAGTGAGGAGTAAAGAAAGAGGCTTGGTTGAACATTTACTGGAACCCGCTATGTATCTTTGTTTGTAAGGATTTTTATGAAGTTTCGGAATCCAATATAAATATGGTAATTCAAATTCATTTTGGTTGTTTGGAATATTAAAAATATTCAAAAAAGATATCAGTGTTCCAGATACCGAAATTCAACTGCATTTATCACTAAAATCATAAAACGCATACAAGCACACAGATTCAGGTGGGGGCACTAGCCCCATCTAAAACAAAAAAACGTGTTTTAGATATGTTATATACATATAGTTTTCACTGTCATATCAAATGATGTAATAAAAGTAAAATTGGAGTCATTTATGTGTCAAAATAAGGTTCTCGAATTTCTTATTCTCATGAGCTTCGGGGGCTTTACCCCAACCTAACACTGTCCTTGACCCTCTGTGGATATAAGTCGTCCCAAGACCCCTCCCTTGCTAAAAGTGTCTCTCTTACTAATGGAAAATCCTGCCTTTGTGCCTGTAAAAGTCAATTATTTTAATGAAAACTCAGATAATGATAAGAAATACATGTAATACGGATTGTAACAGCTGTGAGAAACATCTTTTACATTCAAGTAATCATATTCTCTTCATTACTTTGTTCACATTTAATGTCTACTGCTGCATGGTTACCGTACATGCAAATATCTAATTTATTGTAAATATTATTTAGGTGCAAAGCTAATTAATTAATATGGTATTTGATATAGATTGGATATGGAATTTCCAGAATATTAAAACTCACCCCTCAACAAAGAAACTAGAAAATCATTATATTGAAAGCACAATGTCTGCAAAATGTTTCAGGTTTAGAAATAAATGTGATAAAAATAATACATGAATTAATTAGAATATGAATCTTATTCATTAATACATGAGAGTCATTATGATCTAGTTTTGAGTTTACCAGGCTTTATGACATTTTTGTTATATACCTCTAAAATTATTTACTATATAAATTCATCCTAAAAAAAAGTCTAACATATCTCCAATGTTTTACTGTGCAGTCCGTCGAAAATCGATGTTTGACCGCAGAGTGAGATATGGGACCTATCGATTAGATATTCGACTGATATGTCAGATAACTCTTATTTGCATTCGTTGGTGTTTGACAGAGACGAAATAGATCAAATTAAACTGCAGTGCTGGTAAAGGAAAGTTACATCATAGAAGCTAGAATAAGTTACATGTATGTAAATGAAATAAAGGGTATAACAAAACATTATAATTATTGACTGTGTTCTCAGGCACAATGCATTTCATCGACCCTCAAACCAAACTGTCTGTCTTCAGCCTAACGGCCTCAGGCAAACAGTTTGGTTTGAGGGTCGACAAAATGCATTTTGCCCGAGAACACAATCATGAGTCAATAAATCTATAATGTACGTTCACTGCATTATGATGTCTCTCTGCTGAATATCATGTGGAAAAGTGGACATAGTCTGGAGTAAGCTTTAGCTAAGCAACTAAAATATTACTATATAATTTTTCATTTATTTATTTAATTTTTGAGAGAGAGAGTGTTTATTTGTATTTTCACCAGCTGATCACTTGACAGAGAGATGTTTACATTGGCCACTTCTTGCATTTTTTATGTAACACTCATTTTGTATTCATTTAAGCATTTTTTTACACTGTTATTCATATTACATGCAATCAACTGAGAAATTGTATTTACAAGTATAATTGTGTGTATCAGCTGTTGCAAAAATTAAAACAGACTATAACATTTTCTGCACATTGAATCAGTTTTCCCTTTTTCAATACTGTGGTAAAATATTTCACAACACCAAGAACAACATCAATTATTTTAATATAATATTTTAAAAACATTGAAAAACCCTACATATTTTTATAGCTCAAAAAGATTTTTCTTCTTCCACCACGTGGAGGCATATAAACTAAGGACGTTAACTCTAAATGTATCAGATTTAACGTTTCTCACTTCAAGTGTTTGAGGCGATAGAATGCGAGAAATAAAGACTAAATGAATCAATTTTTATGTGCAGAAGAATGTTAAAGTGATTAAAGATAAATAAAATGAGCTATACTTACGTTAAACGCATAAATCCAAAACCACATATCCAGTTCCTGTCTAAATCTTACAGGAACTGGTGCAGATCTCGTACAGTCTCGAGGCTGGTCTCGTTAGAGGTCAAATCGCACCCTCGGATGTTATGCTACACTCTACAACGATAAAGAATATCATCCGAACACATTGGTAGGGTTGAACTGAGAAGTAGCACGTCTACTGGAGGCAATTACCCGTAACGATACAAATCCACGTGGCTTGTTATAATTCCAAACAGGTCATAAAGAGGTTAATCGCATGTAAATGAAGTCAGCGAAGAGATTCAAAATCACAGTACTTTTAATTAGAAAACATAGAGCACAATGTTGTTCAACAAAGATATTTTCACTCAACCTTTACACATATAATATACACATTGTATTTCAAACTCGACTCTGAACAAACCTGTGCTCGGTTTACGAAAGCTTTGAAGTGTGTACCTGTCACTGATTTCTTTTGATATTCATGAAAATCAAAGGATCCTACCTTCGTATGCTGCTTATATCTATTGTTTGACATATTTAGATGATGATTAAAATAATAAAGACATTAATTAATAGTAAAATTTCATTTTTGAAAATTATAATAAATGTTCGAAATTTGACGAGTTACCGGGGACCACAGGTAAGCCTTATTGAGACTTGTTCTTCGAGTTTTGAGATAAAATAGACTCATTCAGTCAACTTCAAAGAATTCTTTTTTAATTGTTTTGATAATGTGACACTCTAAAAAAAATATTGACAATTGAGATGTCAGCTCTAACAAGAGAGTGTTAAAATGCAACAAGATGCTCCACCTTTTGCATCAAATGACAAAATAGGCTGCATTAATTGCACTTTCTGACACTCCATTTCAGAGCCTCTATACTCCACATTATACTACAAGCCCGTAAGTGTCATCTTCCGAGCATACTAAATTTTGAGTGTAGCTAATCAGTTTAAAGTTTTAATATCATAGTTCAGTACCCATCGTAAACAATAAATGGAGATTTACACAATAGTAACTGAAAGCAGAGGTAAAAGATCTAGAGGAAGAAATTAGAGATTTATCAACGAAGGAGAGAAGAGGTATGTGAGTGTGTAATGTATGTTATGTTTATGAAGGTACAATTAAAAACACAGAGTAGCAAATCATTTATAGATGATTGTTTGACTGTTGTTTTAAAATAAATGACATAATGAAACATGAATTCTGTCTTCTCACTGGTTCAAAGAGTCTAAATTGGTAGGCACAGGTTTAGTGGAATAATCTGCCAAGAATTTACTGGGAGCAAAGGGGACTAAAATCTCTTTGACTTGCAATGATGCATACTACGGAACGAATGCACGAAATAATAGATATTTTCAATATTTAGCATTGCATATATCATGATATCAATTCAAAGTCCAATGCCGTTCAGAGTTCATAGCTATACCTTAACTTTATATAAAATCTAAGTCACAGGTAGGAGGCATTCAACAAGCATGGCAGTCAGTAAACCAAAATATCCACTGGGCTCTCCTCAAGAGCATATTGAAATGTGTAAAACCCACGATTTACGTATTGATGTGATATGTGAGGACTGTGATGAATTTATTTGTGCTAATTAAGTGTGCAAAAAAAGGTCATAGCGATCATGATTGGAACACTATACCCACAGCAGCCAGTCAAAGGAGGAAAGGTCTTCGGAAATTTTTTACCACGATTAAAGAAGAGGATCTGCCTGGGATTGATGAGAAAATAGAGAAGGTGTCAAAACAGATCAAAGAAAATAGAAAGCTGTGTGACTCTGAGATTAAAAGGCTACAAAAGCATTATGATGAGATCATAACTAGGCTGTCAGAAATCAGAAAACGTAATGAACAAAGATTGAGAGACAATTTAGAGGAAAAAATAAAAAGTTGAATGGTGTGAAATCTGAATTAAACAAAACGACTAGAGAAATTGCAAAGATAGTAAATTTCATGGAGGGCAATAAGAGTGCCATGTCAGATTACAGCTTAATCAACAACCTCAGAGAACTGACAGAACTGCTGGCTCGTCTTAATGTTGATATGATAATAGACAGTGAATATATAATGAAATACAGTAAAGGAAAAATACCCGAGGAAATGTTGGAGAACTTAATCGGAAAAACTCTGGATTTAAATGATATCATTTTGACTGAAACAAGCTCGTTTAAATATGGAGATAGAGGAATGGTTTTGTTGAGTGCATTGTGCGAAGATCAGTGTTACATAAAAGAAGTAAATGTACCTTACACTGAACAAGTCAACAAAGAAGGTGAAAAAAAACATATATATTAATCCAATCCTAATAACATCTGTGTAACTGATAATGGTGATGTTTACTTTACGGATTTTAATATCAATTCCATCAGTTGTCTATCACCGTCAGGATCTGTCTCTACAGTCATCAGTACAGATCCACTGTTACCTGGAGGAATCTGCCAGTCAGTGTACGGTGGATTACTGGTCACCCTGAGAGACAATGAATCAGATGATTACAAATTAGAGTCACACAGCAGACGTCTGGTGAGACACATCACAGTGACAGGTGATGTCATCCATGAATATGAGTACCAGGAGGATGTTCAGACCAGACTTTTTACAACTCCATTTAAAGTTGTGTTGTGAACAGTACAAGTGACACTACAGGTGAACTTATCATTTTGTCTGCTTTTGGTTAAATAAAGTCTGTCTACCGCGGACCAAACCTGGCAGAGAACTTTTATCCACTTGTAGTATGTGACTCCCTCTGTAACATCCTTGTTACGGCAGATGCATCTACTGAGTTCTTACTGGAAATTCCTTAAGTTTTTATTGATAGAAAATGAAGTGAACAGTCCATTCAGATTATACCTATACAAATCTACATTGTGGGGTGGATACAGTGACGGACATGTCAAAGAATTTCACTACACGGTGTAATATATTTGAATTATGATGAATGTCATTGATATGAAATCATAAGAGATTGCGGTCATAAAATCATGGACAAATCATTAGCTGTAGCATAATCAGATATATGGAATGTTCATATTATGCTCTCATTTGTCACTAACAATATATAAAGCAGAACAAATGATTATATATGTTTATCATTGTTTTAACTTCTGTTTAAAACCGTTCTGTTTAAAAAAGTTGAATGTAATTTTTAATAACTTCTTGTAGATTTATCACCCTACTATGACAATCAGCTACATGTATTTTCCAATTGTTGTGCAGTATTGTAGGATTCCGAGGACATTTCTGGGGAAGATTAAATTAAACGAAATGTGGTTTCGGGGAATTTTTTTTTTCTATTTTTATTAGATTAAGTTTAAAAATCCGTTTTGAAATCTATAACAAGAAAATATTTAGATCCCTCCTTCAATTACCTTAATCTGAACAAGAATCTGCTCCTACGTCTTTTATTTATTGGTTTATCTTCATGTAAGAAAGAAAATTAAAGCCATATTTAATGCTATTTCATGATTCTTTGCACTCAGTGCACACAATTATAGTGTTCCCAGAAATTGCTGAAAAATGTTTGTGACACAATTATTTAAAATATTGCAGAATAAAATGCTTATAAAATATATATGATTTAATGTCAATTCATTATGAAAAGTCAGAACCTTCCATTTTCCATTTTGGTTTTAATGGAAAAAGGAAGGGTATTGTATGTATGTATTATTAAGATATTGTATACCTCGTAATGTTTCGGAAGCATAGCATTTAATTACCGCGGTACTGTATGCATAGAAGTTTTTTCCCTGTTTAATTTTCAACCCTTTTACCCTTTTGCCCTCGTCGCAAGAAGGCAATTCAAAATGGTAATTTCAAAGTAAATAGCATTATGTCTTAAGCATAGCTTTTCTGGGAAATTCATAACGGGACAAAATCGTTTGCAAGTAGGAAAAGGCGAAAATAACACAGGGCAAAAATAACCCTGTATGTATCCATTACCTTTTTTTCTACTATGTAGTAAAAATGTGAGAAGAAGAGTAATTCAGTATCTCTGTATGCCAAGGAAATGAGGGAAACATTTACAAACTGAAGGAGGAGTGGATATCAGTTCTTTGAGAATATGACTGAATGTAGAAAAATGGAGTTGTTTTCTTAAGTATGCTACATTCCCTTTTTTGCTGAGTAAATTTTCTTTTTCTATATTTTGTCCACAATGATACAAAGTAGATAAATTGAATTTAACATTACAAAACTAGATGTGTTAGTGTGATACAAATGCCCCCGCTGACATGGAAGTTTTACGTATGTGAAAGATCAAGAATGTTAAAAAATGAAAATGGGTGAAAATGACACAAAAATAGAATAAAATATTGCTGCTTTTGTCTTCTGAAATTAAATTACTGAAGCTTTCAGAAAACTGGTCAATCAAATAGAACTCATACTCTTTCTGTATGTTATCTAGAGACAAACAAAATATCTGCTCTTTATCAAAAATAGAAGGACAACACAGCAAAAACAAACAAACAAAACCAAAAAATAAAACAAACAAACACACAAAACGCACTCGAAAACAGTGAATTGTTGGATATTTTCAAAGTGTATGGACAGTAGCATTTATAAAACAAAAAAGGAAGGGGAGGGGTCAGTCAACACAAATCTTGTACTTAATCCCTTATATAAAAAAAACTTACAAAAAAATAGCTCTTTATCTGCACACACTGCAAAAATGTCCCCAGAACAGTGAATTTATAGAAATTTTACGTGTAAGGGCATTAACGTTTTGTAAGTTTTTGGGTCAATACAAAATTCAATTATGATCTGATCAAGAGACACCATAAATCAGCACATTTTTAAGAGTCCTGAAAACTATGAACTTTTTAAAGTCTCAGCAAAAAAGGCCAGGAAACGTACTATGATTGAATGACAAGACGAACAAAAAGGGGTGACACTATATGCCCTCGTCATTTAATGGTGAGGGCATAAAAATTTTCATTAATTTCTCGGAATATTAAACATCAAGTATACGTGGGGGTAATCAAGAGATTTGATGTGGATGATAAACATGTTAAAAATGGTTTGAATTTAGTAAAATATATCATGGTATTGATATAAATTTGACATTTTCCCAGTGATTTTGAATATATACCAAATTAACTTGGTTGAGATGAGACAATCTCATGATGTTATTCTGTGGAGTAATACAAGGGAAAAGATACAACACAATATATGACAAGAACTCTTGGCCATGACTGCAGTAACACAAGCCTGAGTGACTTTATTTGCCCCTCAAAAAACACAAAAATATTTTTTAATCTGTAAAAAGGAAAGTAATCCGGCCACTTGTTTATTATAAAAAATACTGTCATGTTCTCCATCACGTGACCTTCTTGTTGAACGTGAAGGATTTTTTTGGACAAAAATAGATCGGGAAATTTCAAATTGATACAAATGGTTCTGGGAAATTATTTCACTTGTACCTTTCTTCAACTCAGGTGAACATATCATCCAGGCACAAAGCATCGAGAGGTGGGGGTAGGTGTAGGGGGCCTGCCACTCCACATACGTTTTTCCTTAACGTAATTTTTTACAATTAATAATCCTTAATTTGCTTAAGGATTTTTCTTTTAATTTTTTAAATGTAATTGGAGTGTAAATTACAAAGACGTGTCTCGTAGGCTATTTCATCTAGTGCAATTGTACGTGATGGCACATATTGTCGTCCTGTACGTATTGTTGCCGACGATAATGTGTTCCTATTCTCATCACACATATTGTCGTCCATCGATACATATTCTCAGCTAGTCATGTACATATTGTCGCTGGGCAGTGGCGACAATACGTGCCTATCCTTGCTGCACATATTGTTGCTCATTATTTTTTTAAATGAACATATAAAATAATACATTACGTTTTCCTTATTTGTCATTTTTAAACTCCAATTAAGCACTGTGCTGAATTAAACACACCGGTAGGCGTGTAAGAGGAATACTGTGAAGAGGAGGAAACTGCAAATAACATGATTAATATAAATTCATTTTTTAAAAAGACAAGGTATAACTCTCTCTCTCTCTCTCTCTCTCTCTCTCATGTTATCGGTTTTCACATTTTGTCGCCGGCGACAAAATGTACCTATCTTCACTGCACATATTGTCGCCAATCTGTACATACTGTCGCAATATACAAAATGTGCCGAGACAAGCCAATATTTCCTTCTCCAAAATGGGCGAAAAATTTTACAGTCACACACTGGCACATTATGTCATCGGCGACAATATGTACTGTGATCATTGGCAGATATTGTTTGGAAGAATATTTACTGAGGTCTTGAAGAGATAGAGACTGACACACACACTCACACACACACCCTCACACACTCCCACACAGAGAAAGAGAGGGAGAGATCGAGTACCGTCACAAGCGCAAAGGAGACTGAGTTCACCACTTTTGCTTGCAAAGATGCACACAACGGAACTAATGCATAAAATGCTTGATATTTTCGAAATTTGATTTAGTGACACATGAATGCACCTAGTTTAAAGTTACCTCTTACAATGATTTTAGTGACCTGTTTTTATTTGGACTGCATGAGACATGATATTAGAAACATGAGAAAGTCCAATGCACTTCACACTGCAAAGCTACCTTACCTTTAACTTAAATGTAGGTCATAGGTAGGAGTCATTCAAGAAATATGGCAGCCATTAAACCAAACTATCCACCGGGGTCTCCTGAAGAGCATATTGAATTGTGTGATCATCACAATTTACCTGTCGATGTGATATGTGAGGACTGTGATGAATTTATTTATGGTAATTGTGCCAAAAGATATCATAGAGATCATGAATGGAGCACTATTCCCACGGCAGTCAGCAAAATGAGGAGAGATCTGCTTAATTGTCTACGGAAATTCAAGGAAGAGGAAATCCGTGGGATTGATGAGAAGATAGAGACGATTTCAAAACAAATCACGGAAAATAAAAAACTGTTTGACTATGAGATTAAAAAGCTACAGGAGCATTACGATGAGATAACAAGCAGGTTGTCAGACGTCCGAAAATTTTATGAACGAATATTGAGAGATCATCTGGACGAAAAACATAAGAAGTTGAATGGTGTGAAATCTGAGTTGAACAAAAAGAAGAAAGAAATTGCAGAGACAGTTAAGTTCATGGAGGCCAGAAAAATTGAAATTTCAGATAATCACTATATTGACAACCTAAGAGAAATGACACAACTGCTGTCTGCCCTGGGTGTTGATATTAACAACTTTAAATATTCAGTGAGATACTATAAAGGGGAAATCAGTAATGAGGTACTGAAGCATATTACTGGAAAGAGTCTAGATTTAAATAGTATCAGTTTAACTGAAACAAGCTCGTTTAAATATGGAGATAGACGAATGGTTTTATTGAGGGCAGTGTGTGAAGATCAGTGCTACATACAACAATTTGAGTCACCTTACACTAAACTAGTGAACAAAGAAGGTGATATAAAACATAAATATAATATCAAACCTAATGACATGTGTGTGACTGATACTGGTGATGTTTATTTCACAGACTTTACAAACTATTTCATTAGCTGTCTGTCACAATCAGGATCTGTCTCTACAGTCGTCAGTACAGATCCACTGGTACCAGGAGGAATCTGTCAGTCAATAGACGGTGGAATACTTGTCACCTTGACAGACTATGTGACTAATACATACATATTAGAGTCACACAGCAGACGTCTGGTGAGGCACATCACAGTGACAGGTGATGTCATGCATGAGTATAGTTACCAGGAGGATGGTCAGACAAGACTGTTTACGTATCCAGTCAGAGTCACACAGAACAGTAACCGTGATATCTGTGTTGTGAACAAAACAAGTGACACTACAGGTGATCTAGTGATTATTTCTCTATCTGGTCATATGAAGTCTGTTTACTATGGACAGAACCTCACAGAGGACTTTGGACCGACTGATGTTGTGTGTGACTCCTTCTGTAACATCCTTGTTACAGACCTTGACAACAACCAGATTCATATGTAAAGTCCTGACGGGGAGTTCTTGAGGTTCTTACTGACAGAGAATGAAGTTAGCCATCCATTATCACTTTCCCAGTACAAGTCTACTCTGTGGGTAGGGTACAGCGAAGGACTTGTTATTGTATTTAAGTACATAGTGTAAAATGTTAAATACATGAATTGTGATTAAACACACACACACACACACCCACCCTCACACACACACACACACACACACACACACACACACACACATATATATATATATATATATATATATATATATATATATATATATATATATATATATATATATATATATATATATATATATATATATATATATATATATGATAGCATATTGCAATGTTAAACGACATCGAGTAGACATCTTGTCAACATTGCATTCTTTGTTATTATTTACATTGTTCACATCATTCGATATCGCAATGTTAGACGATATCGAGTCGACATCGTGTCAACATTGCATTCTTTTTTCTTCTTTACAATTTTCACTTCGTCGACATTTCAATAATGGACAACATCGAGTCGATATTGCTTCAACGTTGCAATCTGTTTTCTTGTTTACATTGTTTACATCGTCAACATTGCAATGTTGGGCGATATCGTGTCAACATCGTGTCAACATTCAATCTTTTTTTCTTGTTTACATCGTTAACATCGTCGTTATCGCAACGTTGGACGATGTAAACTCATATGGACATTGTCTATATTGCGATGTCCACATACAATGTAAAACTATAACAATGTAGACGATGTAAACTCGACGTCGCATCAACATTGCAATGTTAACGATGTCAATATAGTGAATGAAAACAATGTAGACGATGTAATCACGATATCGTGTCAACATTGTCGACATTGTGATGTCGACAATATCGAATTGAACTGGACATGAATGCTAACAGTTCTTCAAGTGTTTGTTCCTAAGAAGATTTTAAAAGATTTTCCTTAATTTTTATTTCAACATAAAACTTTGATTCTCTATTGTGTCCACCCCTGTTCTTAAATTTTACATGGAATTACATGGGCATTTTATTTGAGAGAGAGGGAATCAGAGGCAACTTTTGAATTTTTTTGAAAATTTATTACCCAAAAGTATCTACTTTCTGTAGCTGCAGATCTGTAGCTCGTTGGTCTGAAAAAAAAATGTGATGGACGACCCTTTCTGTTGATACTGCCATTAATAAAAATCATGATGTACACTAAGCGAATACATTGACATTGTACATGCATATAAAATTGTGGATTTATATTGGTTTAAGTGGTCAGATTGTTTGAATCCTGTAAACATAGTTTGGCATGCAAATAAATTTTTAACATTTTCAGAGACCTTGTGCTTGTAAAATTATCGGGGTTTGAATCCTTTGTTAAGTGTGTGCTTTTTTTTAATCTAACACCATTCTATGTACCGACTTGATTTAGGAACTGCAGCACGTATAGTCAAAGAATTTCTCAAACTCACTTTGATAAAAGTATTTGATACTATAAACTTATACTAGGCAAAAATCGGTTGCTATATGTGTCATAATTACCAGGGCAACATCCAAAAAATCTAAAAAAAAAAAAAAAAAAATAAAATAAAATAAAATAAAATAAAAAAAAAAAACTTTTTACCATGTTTCCAATTTATTAACGTTTGCAGCAATGACTTAAAGTGACAATGACCGTTTCCAAATGATTTAGATTTGATTTCTTAAATCCATAAAAAAATAAATCAGGAAAACCAACAATTACACAAGTTAATATGGAAACTACGGAAGCCCGTTGAGGCCAATTCAGAAAAAGAAATATTTTTTATTGCGTTTAAACGCAATAATTATTGCGTTTAATCGCAAAACATTGCGTTTAATCGCAATAATCATTGCGTTTAAACGCAAAAGATTGCGATTAATCGCAATGTATATTGCGTTTAAACGCAAAACACTTTGCGTTTAATCGCAAAAAATCGCGATTAAACGCAATCTTTTGCGTTTAAACGCAATACTTTTGCGATTAAACGCAATAATTTTTGCGTTTAATCGCAATGATATTTTTGCGTTTAAACGCAATAATTTTTGCGATTAAACGCAATGATTTTGCGTTTAATCGCAATAATTTTTGCGTTTAAACGCAATACTTTTGCGATTAAACGCAATACTTTTGCGATTAAACGCAATAATTTTTGCGTTTAATCGCAATGATATTTTTGCGATTAAACGCAATAATTTTTGCGATTAAACGCAATGATTTTGCGTTTAATCGCAATAATTTTTGCGTTTAAACGCAATACTTTTGCGATTAAACGCAATACTTTTGCGATTAAACGCAATACTTTTGCGTTTAATCGCAATACTTTTTGCGTTTAAACGCAATAATCTTTGCGTTCAAAGGCAATAATCTTTGGGTTTAAAGGCAGTCATTTGTGTCAAACCTTGCAGAGTACAATGGACCCACGCATACTTATATCTTTTATTTATTTCTCTTTTTACTTATTAGGAAATTGTGTGTTGTCTTTATAGAATCAGATTTCTCCGAGCAAACACTCTCTGAAAGGTAAATCACTAATAAGAATTTATAGAGGAGAAAAAAAATGTCGGGTTGTAAAAACAAAGGAATCCTAAGAACGAGACATGTCTTAAGCTTATTCTCTACAGTTTTAATGAAGTTTCGGTCAGTTGTTCTGCTAAAAAAAAAAAACTGTCCCATACGTTGCAGTCACAAGTTTAAATCATGTATAAAGGGATTTTTGGAAAGGACTGAGGAAATGTTGGAATTACGTACAACATGATGAAGTATTTAGACTTCAATGTACATTCATAACCCTTCCTATGGTTGCATACAGTAAACACAAGAACATGTGTGATGGATTTATATGAGGTCAAAATCAAAATCAAATGAAAACAGATTGATCGATGTGTACTACATATATCAAATTGACAAGTGCTATTAATACCACTGAAACTTTCTCTATAAGTTGTGATACACGTAAGCAATTGATCATACACTTCATTAAGAGTTTTGGGTTCTACATTTAAGACATTCAGGTTGTTAGGATGCCATTGTTTTATTACAATTTTCAAAAACTTGAAAATTTTGCAAAAAGACAAAGAACAAATCGGGATCTTCTTAAAGTTGAAGTGTCGGGTCCTGGTACATGTAATTATAAGCTTTGACTAATTCATGCTTGATTTTGAAACTACAGTATCATTGTGTTTAAATGCAAAACAAATCCTTATAAGGAAGGATTATTGCGTTTAAACGCAAAGATTATTGCGTTTAATCGCAAAAGTATTGCGTTTAAACGCAAAAGATTGCGTTTAATCGCAATCTTTTGCGATTAAACGCAAAGTGTTTTGCATTTAAACGCAATATACATTGCGATTTAACGCAATCTTTTGCGTTTAAACGCAATGATTATTGCGATTAAACGCAATGTTTTGCGATTAAACGCAATAAAAAATATTTCTTTCTCTGAATTGGCCTCAACGGGCTTCCGTAGGAAACAAAGTATTGAAAAATAATAATTTTATTCATTTTGTTGAAGTAATAAATTAAAAAAAATAAAAGCAATGACGGGTTGAAATGCAATATAATAATTGAGTACGATCCTTGTAACACGTCCTAAGGAAAAAATGATATATTTTTATCGGTTGGCAATGGTTGCAATAGTTTTAATACCACAAAGGGATTTCAATATTCTTTCTGTATCTTTTAATCTGATCCCTTTTTAAGAGCACAATTCTATATAACTTGCGATTGATTTTTAAACAATTTTGTGGTACTAATTTCAAAATGAAAAATAATTAAAATTTATATAGAACATTGCTATGGAAATTGTTGGAAAAAATGTAAAAAGCCGAAAAATATTTTGTTTCTCTGGATAGATACCCTTGTTTGTAGGTTCTAAAAACTGTTATGATTGATATTATGAAGAACTTACCTAACTCTCAATTTTGACTTCTACACAATCTCTGACTGGATTTATGAAGCTACTGCATAATGTTTAATATTACTATGCAGCTCACTAAATGGAACATTTCTCAACTTTAATTCTATCGGATAAGTACAATTCAAGGTAAGTTGATAATAATTTTCAACATTTCATCGATAATGCAAACCTATTGTCTCTATAACCTTTTTAATATGTCTATTTTTGACTGAAACATAAAAAGAGAGAAGCCTTCTCCCTTTTTATATGTCAGTCAAAAACGAGATATTTTTAAATTTTACAGCTTAAAGAGATAAAGGGGTTACATTATCGATAACATGTAGTGCATACTAGAATACAAAAATAGGGGGAAAGTGTGTCGACCCCGATTTAAAAAGAAAAAAAATTGAAAAGGGGGTTCATCCCCCTCGTGCCTGTGTTAATTGTTGAATGATTTACAAAAATGTATGTACAATGTAATGTTATTATAAACATCACATTGTTCACAGATGGAGTATTGAATCAACATGATAACCTCATTAAAAATTGTTTCCTACAAATGTTTTTATGTGATTTTTTTTTATTTTAAGACAATATCCAGTCCAATTATTTTTACCCAAAGGGACATAAAAGAGGGCGGGTGGGGTGGTGAGCATTATTGTTTCATATACTTTTTAGCTAACATGAGCCGAAGGCTCAAGAGAGCTTTTCTGATCACTTTTTGTCCTGTGTCCGTCTGTCTGTCTGTAAACTTTTAACATTTTCAACTTCCTCTCAAGAACCACTGGGCCAATTTCAACCAAACTTGCCACAAAGTAACCTTGGGTGAAGGGGATTCAAGTTTGTTCAAATGAAGGGCCACGCCCTCTTTCAAGGGGAGATAATAAAGAATTAGTGAAAAATTAATAGCATCTTTTAAAAATCTTCTTCTCAAGAACCACAGGGCGAAAAAAGATGAAACTCTTGTGGAAGCATCCTCAGGTAAAGTAGATTAAAGTTTATTCAAATCATGACCCCCGGGGGTAGGGCGGGGCCACAATGGAGGATCAACGCTTTAAAAGAAATATATAGGACAAATCTTTAAAAATCTTCTC